CATTTTAGTCCAAATCTTCACCAATATTTTAAATGTAAATAAAAAAAAGGGAAAAGGAGAATTTAGTAAACTAGCTTGTACACAAGCCAATAAATGAACTTATAAACGAGTCGATAAACGAATTTGTTCGTGAAAATAATTTAATCGAACTTACATTTGTTTGTGTTCGTTCATTTATTTAATGAACATAAAAAGTTATTAATACTCATTTATTTAACTTAATAAATTAACATTAGACTAACGGTTTATCAAACACTATGTTTATTTACACTGTTAACTATTAAGAACAAGGATGAATTAAGAAGTGTTGAAGTGCGATTGCATTATTTGAAAATTTTAAATTTTCGTACTTTATATTTTTTTGGTATTTTCTATGAATAATTTAATTTGTAAACGTGACTATAGATATTTGTAGTGACCTTAAGTAGTGGAGTCATGCATAAAATCATTATGATCATTCATATGTCAATATACTAAATAAATATAAGTGAGAGACAATAAAGTTTGTTCCGATAAATATATAAACATGTTAAATTAGAGATTATAATACTTTTGTGCTCGGAAGATATAGGATTCCTTAACATCTTTGTCAGTCGAAGGAGTCTTATCGAGGGCTTTCATTAAGGAGAGTTAACAATTTTGGGAGATAATCTCCAGAGATATAACAAGATCTAACCAATAAGAGCCCTCAGATTTGGTGGCGGTGGCAGTTGGATAGATGAAAACCTTGATCTGACAAATTGACACTCGTGCGTGTGCTGCATTATTTAGATATTTTGCTATCTCATAAATATTAGCACTTCCCCAAGTCCCATCCTTGGGCCCGGGCAGATGCCCTCGCCCGAGAACAGTACAACCCATGGCCTACTCTGTTAGACTGGCCTGTCTGTTGGGATGTAAACGGACCACCTACTCGGTCAAAGCTGACAAAAACATAGTCGAGGCCGAATATCTTCAATAAAACCAGACCACATACAATATACAATGCCGACTGGTTTGTGCTGCCATAACGCTCCTGGACAAGAGAAAATACTCGAGGAAATAACATATTGGATACCTGGGGAAGATTGGTTTGGTATATAGGGATCTTTTATCGACTTAACCCGATAAAGCCGACCCCTTCGATTATTTTTCATTTTCTTAATAGTTTAAAATAATTATAAAGTAATATTTCTTCTTAACGACGCATATACACAGTAGACATATCGATTTAAAATATATATATATATATATATATATATATATATATATATATATATATATATATATATATATATATATATATATATATATATTTAGTTGTATTCAATGATTTTGGAATAGTCACCCGGTCATTGAGCCTGCTTAAGATAAAAGGAGAATGGACAAAGCCTAGTTAGTTAAAATGGTCCAAGAGAGAGGCCTATAGCGGAAATAAATAACTTTATTTTTTATTATAAATCTGAGTTAATACACGATAATATCTTTTTTTAAAAAATTAATTCTTTGATAATAAACACTCATACCCTATATACGTAGTGTTTGAATCCAGAATTAAATTACTTAAATGAGAAGAAATATGTCAATTAAAAAAATGTTAAATAGTATTTTTAACTTATAAAGTTATATCTTCTTAAAAAAAATTAGAAGACCCTTATTCTCATATGTAATGGGATAAGGGGGAGGTAGGATAGTAGGCTACCCCCAACGTCAGGTTGAGAGCAGCTTCCGTGAGAGATCTCTGAATTATGAATTGCTCTCCGTGGGACTCGATCCCACGACCACAAGATTAAGAGTCTTATGCTTTACCAACTGAGCTGGATGGACAATTTAAATCTTATTATATCATTATCAAAATAATATTTGATTAAATTTTATTTTAATATATTTTTAAAATTTTTATTTTTATTTATTTTTTTATAAAATATCATGTGATAATTTAATAACATGTCATATGACACATAATATTTATATTAAAATTTTAAAAATATTTTTTGGCAAAATATTTAAGATTAATAAAATCTCAATTTTTTAGAATATTAAAAATTACATGTTTTGAGTTGTTATTATTATTATTATTATTTTACATTGTCAAAAGTTTTTCTAATCATTCGACTATTGGGTTATTATTTAATAAACATGAGGTGTAAAATTTACTTTATACAATTAAAATATTTTAATCTTGAATTCTAAAATTTAAAACCCTAGCCTTTAAAATCTAAAATCTTAAAATTTAAATCTAAACTTATAATATGTTACAAAACGATCATTAAATTTTATCTAATTGTTACAAAATAATTATTAAATTTTATCTAAAGATTATAAAATTGTCTTTAAATTTACCGAACTTTTACACTTATAATCTTTTTGTAACGTAAATATAAATTTAATAACTATTTTATAACTTTTAAAAATCTAGTAATCAAAATGTTTATTTAAATATAGCCTAGTGACCTCTAATATATGTTACCCGTAAAATTTTATAAATATTATATGAATAGTTATATGTTTTTAAATATAATCATATGTGAATGATCATATGAATCAAAACACAAATGACATTAAACCTTAAAATAACACATATGGCATTAATCGTTTAAATATAGTCTAGTGACCTTTAATATATGTTACCCATAATATTGATGAAAGTTTTTTTTACCCTAAATTTCGAATCATAAACCTTAAAATATATAATCCTAACCCTAAATTATAAATTCTATAACCTTCTACTCTAAACTTTATATAACACATATGGCATTAATTATTTATATATTTCGAATTCGAATAATTTAGTTATGAATAATTTAATTTTTTAAGGGAATGAAATTAGCCATAAAAAGGTGAAATGAAGGCGAAGTTGCTCTATTATTTCCTTTGGGTCAATTTCAAAGGGAGGTTTGGGACACAAATTCGACTGAGCCTCGTGGGAGCAAAGACTAATTAAAGGTCAAAATGAGAGTGACATGTGCTAACTTGGCTTTTCTTCTACAATTCTTGAATTTCATAGTTATGGGACCAAACCTTATATATATATATATAGTTTTAAATAAACAAGTCTCTTGAACTCATTAGCTGATCCCAGGATAAAAAATAATATTGTTTTATTTAGAGATTTTAGGTTGAGCAGCTATATCCATAGAGTATATATACGTTGTCAATAGATTAAGAAAATTTTGAACAGATAGTACCTTATAACCTCCCAAAATTTTATAGTTAATAGTATATTAAGTTTTTTTTGTTTAATTATTAATCAAATAAGGAAACTTACAAAACAACCTCAATGGTAAAAGATAATATTGTTATCCTTAAAGATCTAAAGTTCGAACAACTGTGTTTATAAGATGTGTATTGTCAATGATTAAGAAAGATTCTAAACAAACACTTCATTGTAATCGCCCAATACTATTAAAAAGATCAAATAAGATATTTGTCCACCCGAATTTTTAAATTTAACTATTTAATCGATTCTTATTATTTCCATGTAAAATAATTTGATCTCTTATAATATTTTGATTTCAACTCTGTTTTTGTCTTGCATAATATAACAATAATAATCAACCAAATCAAATTCAAATTGTATAAACACTTGTTAAATTTAAAATTTAAAATATTAATTTATTATATTTTATAAGATTATGAAAAAAAATCAGTTTGATTTAGAAAATATGATTTGTGACATCAATTTCCATTGCAGTAAGTCGAGAATAACGTGTCCATAAAAAAACACTTATATATATATATATATTAGTTATATTTAAATCTAGGGAGTGATATCCCACCTACCTCTTTGCTCTAAAATAAAAATAATTAATTATCAAGTATCATTAAAAAATAAATCCAAGCAAATTTAAGAATACAGACAATAAGGGACTTCTCCTTCACCTTACAAACCACCCAGGCAACATATTCTTTATAATTTTTTAAACTCAATAACATTTTCAATGATAAAAATAAATATTATTCCCTTTAAATGATTCGAGTTTAAACAGTTATTTTTATACGATATGTGTATATTATCAATAAGTTAGAAAAAATTCTAAACCTATACTATTGTATAATCATTGAGACCATTTAAAAATATATTTTAATTTAATACAATTTCTTTTTGATAAAAAAATAATTCCATGAATTCCTTTTTCGAAGCAAAGCTTAAACCTCTACTATCGAATGTGTATTGTGAAGGGTTGAATTGCTCATACAGTGTTGTGAAAAAAATTATTGGCTTAAATAGGTTTTCACTGGAATTATTTTTTAGTCTAGTGTAAATGTTACAATACCCGTTTGAAAATTGCCCAGAAAACAATATGTCTTCGGAAAATCACCGGAAACACAATGTATCTTTAGGCGACGTAGCTAAGTCGCACTGCAGTGAGTACGTCTCCAGGCATTATATTCACGACCATGCATTATATTCACGACCATGCATCAAACTAATAAAAAAGTGAGGAAAATCATATTCATGGCCAAGCATAACAATACAAAATATTTAAATTGATTTACAATGGGATATTTTAGTGCAATGCGTCTCTAATAAAGATGCATGAAGTGAAGTGCGATTCCGACCCTGACGTATAGTGTAATACGACTTCTTCCCTTACTGTAGCAATGACTCTATCGTAGCAAATAATTGTAAACGTACTTATCATAAAGGTTCTTAATCTGATGGTCGTGTGATCCAGTCCTACGGTTGGTAATTCATAATTGTCGGAGGTTTTTACGAAAATTGCTCTCAACCTAACATTGGGAGCAACCTAATACTCTACCTCCGCTTATCCCATTATATAGGAATAGGGTTACTTAATTTGTACTTATCATAAAGGTTTTTCCCCTTACTGTGAAGTGTTTGAATTTATATTCTCTCTTCTTGAAAATCGAATTCCTTGAAATTTCATAAGAACGAACTGTAATTAATTTATTTTAATTTTCATGTTTGACCGACTTTGTTTCTTAGACACGGCAGTTGACCCAAGCAAAAAGTTTTCGGTCTATATTATCCGCGAACTAGTTTCCTTAGCAATTGTCGTTTGCAAACACATCCAAAGACTTTGTCTTCATTCTTATGCTCTTTGATTTTACTTTAGAGCAAATTTAATTATTATTGATTCCCATTGTTCAAGCTGAATTTACTTCAATTACAGAAACCCAAATTCAGGGAGTTGCACGGTTATTGGTAATGGAAATATATAAACTGAGAATTCAAGTCAATCTTTGAAAAACAGAGCAAAGAAAACCACTAGGAAGCCTTTTTTTAAAAATCTTTTTCATTTGATGGTTGAATCTTTTTATCATCCTTTCGTGTTTTGTGTTCTGCAAAAAAGGGGTATCTTTTCTTGTTTCTGTGTCTGGTTATGCTCCGACGAGGAGAACATAAGTGAAGTGTAAAAGGGTTTTTCAGAGATGGGTATTTGCTGGGGTTCTTCAGCCGATAGTCCGACACCGAGCACTACCGGTCGTATCAGTTCAGGTACCACACAACAAGATTGTTTCATGTTCTTTTTACAAAGTTTGCCCTGTTCTTGATACTTGTTTTGTAGTTTTTTGTGTTTAATTTTCAATTGTGTTTTTTGCAATAGTGATATCTCAGACAACGAGCAACGCAGCATCATCATCTGCTGCTGTTTCGAGGGGGAGTAGATTCTCTGCTTCGAGTGGCGATGAGGCTTTTCCAAATGGGCAGATCTTGCCCACACCTGATCTAAGGACCTGCAGTTTTGCAGAATTGAAGGCTGCAACCAAGAATTTTAGGCCCGAAATGCTGCTAGGCGAAGGCGGTTTCGGTAAAGTCTACAAAGGTTGGCTCGATGAGAAAACACCGGGGAAGATCGGTAGCGGAACGCTCGTCGCCGTTAAAAAACTCAACTCCGAGAGCTTGCAAGGATACGAGGAATGGCAGGTGAATTTCATTATCCCTTGCAATACAATTAACTTAGTTCTTCAAGGCAAAGCCATATGGATGTTGATGTTAATAATTAAAAATGACACTATAAGAATTACATTGTTGATTTTCATACAAAGTCTTTGTGTGTGACTGACCAATGACTCAATTCAGACTGTTTTTCGGGTTTTACGGTGAGATTACCGGTTTGGTGCCTCATCGGAGCCCCGAAGAGTATATGCCATATATCATATAACATCATTCTAGGTCAAACATGTTCATCCCTACATTTTGTTGATTGTTTAGTGCTTGTTTTACTGGTTTTTGCTACTTCTTTTATCGGTGCAGGCGGAGATAAATTTCCTAGGAAGATTGTCTCATCCCCACCTTGTAAGGCTGATAGGATACTGCTTGGAGGATAACGAGCTTCTTCTGGTTTACGAGTTTATGCAGAGGGGCAGCTTAGAAAACCATCTATTTGGAAGTAAGAAGCTCAATACTTCGTCTTCTTTTAAGCCTCCGATTATTCATTTGAGCATATACTTATGTGTACGATACGTAGATACCGGCTTTCCTTAATGGTTTTCATTATCCAGGAGGTTCGACTGTTCAATCACTTGATTGGAACACACGGCTTAAGATTGCAATAGGAGCAGCAAAGGGCCTGTCGTTCTTGCACGCTTCGGACAAGCAAGTAATTTACAGAGACTTCAAAGCATCCAACATACTGCTTGATGGGGTATAAACTCAAACTTTGAGCATGCTTTTCTCGATCACATTCTAATATGGTTCGGCTATTATCGCAGGTGTATACGGCTAAAATATCGGATTTCGGATTGGCCAAATTGGGTCCTTCAGCAAGCCAATCGCATGTAACGACCCGGGTCATGGGAACATCTGGTTATGCAGCTCCGGAATATGTTGCCACAGGTAATCCTCTGAAACCTTCCCAACTTGTGTGATGTTCTTGCTTTGCATCGTTGCTTTTACGAGACGATCGAGCGAAGCCGATTTGCAGTTTCCATGACTAGAGTAGTTTACTGATTAAACAGGGCATTTGTATGTCAAGAGCGATGTGTACGCTTTCGGTGTTGTTTTAGCCGAAATACTGACCGGCTTACGAGCACTCGATCTGAACCGTCCGAGTGGACAACATAATCTTGTGGACTGGATAAAACCGCATTTATCCGATAGAAGGAAATTGAAGAGAATAATGGACCAACGATTGGAAGGAAAATATCCCTCTAAAGCTGCATATCGAATAGCTCAACTCTCTTTAAAATGCCTTGAATCCGAGCAAAAGAATCGTCCGTCGATGAAAGAAGTCGTGGAGGCTTTGGAAAAGATCGAGTCAGCCATCGAAAGGCCAACGGAGTCAAGAAACCGTTCCGATCGTCACACGGCTCATAGACACAGCCAGCAGCCACGGCGCCACCGTTCTCTACTCGCTCCGAAGCAGGAAGCCGGTGTGGTTATCAGACCACACCACGGGTGAGGTTAGTCGGCACGTCGGTCCAATTTGTTGCACACAATTCCAATTTCTTTAATTTTTTCCCCAAGGAATCTCATAGCTCAGTGACTTATGGACCTATTGACATGATAGTAGTTAACTTGTAATTATTCAGTAAGTGAACCGGGTTTAGTTTAGCTTGATATCTCTCTAGTTTTCATAAACTCATTATGCTGTTTTTCGACACGAATCTCTTTATTTATCGATTTTAAAATTATAGAGATACAAATTATATTTTTTTTTAAATTTAATTTTTGATTTCGTCTCTGATCATATATTATATAACGCTCGTAACATCTACAATAGCCCCTAAACTTGATTTTTTTTCCATCTTTGTTATTTAAAATGAATAAATAAAAATTAAAAAATTAATTTGTTTTTGCACACAAGATGGGATCTCAAATTCTAATAAAATAATGATTTGGATTCTAAAAATGTTAGTTAGCACGTGTGGGGATGGAAAGCGTGGGAGTGGTTGCATCATATGTGACGGAATGCTTGTGTACGCAGGCACCAACGGTAGCACTGTGGTACAATGACACTGACCATCAAATTTAATTCATAAAAGCTAATAAATTTGTCCACAAAAAGTCAATTGGGGACAAAACTGCGGACCAAAGGAACAGAGGTTGTCAAAAATCTTTTCTCCCTCTTAAATTCTTCAACATTATATTTTTTATGTTCCATAATTTCATAGAATTTAGATTATATTATTTATAATTAAATTAGATTGAATTCTTAAATAAATGAAAACTTTTAATATTACTTTTTTCATCCATAAAATTTAAATTTAAATTGATTAAATTATTTACCATTCTATTCAACAATTTTTCAGATGTTAGGAAATAAAAGTAAACTATAAATTTTATCATTCAATTTTCTTTTCACTATTATTTTAATCATTAAAGTTAAAAAAAAATCAATATACTTATTAAACTTTTAATTTGTTTTTATTTTGATCACTCCCCTCTTAAATACTTAATGACATGGACATAAAACTTTCTTTGTTTTTTGTTTGTTTGTTAAAACTCCATACTTTCGGATTCTCTTTAATTTTTCGATGATGAAACAACTTCTTCAAATTCCAACAGTGAAGAGGTGGAGGAGGAAGCAAATTGTATATCTTAATTACACGATGATAAGATGATAAATATTATAAACCAAAGTAGTTTGGAGTTTCAAGAATTTAGTGTTTAGAGTTGAGTTTTATGACTTCTAAAGTGATTTAGGTAAAATATAAAATGACAATGTTAGGAGACAATGAGGCAAGTCCGTCGATGTCTTAAGTGGTCAAAGAATACATCAGAGAATGATAATTACAGTGTCGACGTGATATAAAGATAAAATTGTAAAATTTGCATCATTAGAGGAAGAAGATAAGAGAAAAAAAAGAGAAAATGATGTGGGTGACACATGAATGCCATGTAAATAAAAAGCAATCCGTATAAGCACACATGACTACAATATCACCCATCCATTTTCAGTTTAACATCAGAGTGACCAAAATAAAAATATGATTTTTTAAAAAATTTAGTGACTAAAATAAGAATAAGAAAAACATTGAGTGATGAAATTTGTAATTTATCCTAAAATAAACAATAGTTCCATAGTATAAACTTGCTATAACAATCTTCTTCTTCTTCTTCTTCCTGCAAAGACATTTTGGACAAAAACCCTAAAGATTATGACAAAAAGCACATGTCTTAGTTTGGCAAGCTTATGTCTTCCAGATCATCTAATGACAGAAACACTTCATCCAAACACGATAGTTCTGTTCCATCGTCTTCTTCTTCTTCTTCACTTCTTTCGTATACTCGACAAACAACCCATTTGCTATAATCCTGTACAAAAATGTCTATAAATCAAAATTATCAAAAACAAGTTATGGACTAATTATGCCCTGCATCTATATTCTTCCTACTTTTGAAATTTAGTCACTTTGTATGTATGGTTTAAAAATTAATATCCAGTTGATGATATTGTTAACTAACTTTTGTTAAATTTGAATATTTGTTATTAGGTTAAAGGACATCATGGATTACTAAACTAAGACATATGACATAATAAGGAAGTATCACATTATTAAAAGGATTAAAAATAAAAAGATTATCAAATTGAGGGACTAAAATTTACTTTATCCCTTAAGTGCACTGTAACTTTTAAATCACATCTTTTAATTAAAAAATGTGATGTATTCAAATTTTGACGGAAGTTTATGTTATAGATTACATTTTATTTTTCAAATCAAATAAATAGAGGGATTAAATTTTAAATATTTTGAGGATCTAGGGACTAAGAGCATAGTTAAACCAACATTTAAAACCAAGAATTAACGAGTATAGGATACTAACTATATTGGAATGTCCTCCTCCTCTACGGTTGGACGATCTACTGCTGCCGGAATCGGGATCGGAGAGACGATATTCCTGCATAATCCAATTAGTTTTGATACCGGCCGGACCTGATTCCCCAATGTAGAAAATGAAATGTTTCTTCATGCCAACTTTCTGGCCGCCATCGCTATTCACCACAGGCTCATCGCTTCCCATCGGCTTCCAGTACCCATTGCCGGTGCTCCGATTTTGCGTCTTCCTGCTGTAGAAATACCACTGCTTTCCCTCACCCAAAGCTTTACCTATATCCATTAAAAAAACATTTTCTTCAACAAAAAAATACAAGAATAAAAGAAAACCAGCATGAATGATGGGTTGATCAAATATACCGTCGAGTTCCCAGGGATCGCATGGATAAAGCTCGAGATCGGGGATGACATCGGGGTGGCAGGGCAAGAGAGAGACTTTTCGTTGAAGGAAATGAACGACGAGCTCTTCGTCGGTGGGACAGAATATGAAGCCCGGCGGAAGATTAACATTGCGATTGTCTCCCATGTTGAAGGATGTTGACGAAAGAATAGTGAAGGAGATGATATTTATAGTGTGGGGGAGATAAAGAAATGAAAGAGGAGAGAAAGTGACGTGAAAAGGAAGGTGGGATTTTGATGATGAATCACGAGGAAGAAGATGATTTAAAATCTCAAACTCCAAGCTTTCTCTCCCATGGTGGCGGGTAAACGGAAACGCTTTGCTTTGTATACTTCCAAGTAACGATATCTGCTCATTGCTGTGTTAGATATACATGGAGCTGAAAGAGGATAAATTATTATAAAAACCACTTCATTTATATTTTAAGAATAAATCGGTATTAAATTATTTTTTATTTTTAATATTAATATTAAGAAGTAGAATTTTTAAAGATGTTAAATCGGTATTAAATTATTTTTTATTTTTAATATTAATATTAAGAAGTATAATTTTTAAAGATGTTAATTTACAAGACGTCTACAAAATATCGTCTAAATTCTAATTTGATCTTTTAATTTAAAAAAATATTTGATTGTATCATTAAATCTTTCTAATTTATTTATCAATTTAAACTTTAAATATCGGTTCATATTTAACATGGAATATATTTAAGTTTCTTTTTACATGTTAAATTCAAATCATCCATGCAATATGTCTAGGGATGAGTTATGATCCGAACCTAACTTGACCCGATTTTATAGGATTAATTTTTCTCTTTTAAAATTTAGATTTGAGTCGGGTGAAAATTTTTGAAGGATAAAGTTGAGTTTAAACTTAGAGTGAAAGATCTTCGATCTGATCCAAACTGAGATAATAGTATAATCATCTCTTATATGTCGACGAGTAATTATAATAATATCATTTTCTCTATTTCATTCAATCAAATCTCTTTTTAATCAAATAAAAGTAAAAATTATATATATATATATATTTCAGATCAATTACGAGTTTTTATCCTAAAAGTTGTTCAGATGAAACCTTCTTAAATTCTAGTTAAATTTGTTGACAGTGAAAAGATATAATACTCGAATCAAAGAAAACCGATCTAATCTAATCCGCATTCATCCCTAATAAATACATAAATATATTTATAATTTAACTAATATATTTTAAATATATATCACCTCAAAATTGAGCTAATAACTTGATTGAAAAAATAACGTATCCCTTTAAATACTCAAATACACGTAATAAAGTTTATAAACTAATTTAAAATCTAACTCATAATTTAAGAAATTTTTGTTGGATTAATCCGATTTCAAACTATAAAGGAAATGATGAAATGAGGTGGGTCATCATCATACTTCATGCTTATATCATGCATCTGCTATGATACACGTGGCATACATGAAAATGGATTTGGCCCTGAACCACAAATAAAAGCATTGATATTCTCTACTTTGTACCATCCAATTGAAGTTGGATGCACGATTTACGTTCGTGGATTATTTTATCACGTCGTTCGACTCTGATTAATAGTGTATCGACGGTCTTTCAATAGCTTCATCCCTTTTTATTGTTTGTTTATCGTTGCAATTAAATATGTTTGTATCTATCTTTTGTTCGAGTTTTTAATTAGGTTTTTAACCTTTTTTTCTTGTATGATAATTGTGTGATCTTAAGTGACTAGTTTTTGTGTGGTTATATAAAAATATCTCATTTATGTGTTTAGTTTACGACTATAATTGTAAACCTTCACTGTAATTCTGGATATTTCCTATTTTTAATAAAATTAACGGTTTCTACAAAAAACATTTTTTAATTTATATTTAATTTTGTTATCTAATTTTAAAAAAATAAAGATTTCGCCCATACATGCTTTTATTTATACGTTTAATTACTCTCTTGGCATACTTTTTAGAATTTAAATTGTAATTTAATTATTTTTTAATTTCAACTTATGGTTATCAAAGAATATATCTTTTTTAGGAATTTTTTTCTTTCACCTTAAACGTTGTTGGTTTCTCTCTCCATCTTGATTGATAGACGACAATACCAACCATGATGTTGGTTGCCACTGTCGATATTTATTTATTTTTCTTTATTTTTTATACTATATTTTTTTTCTTTGCTCTTTTTCTTTAGTTTTGATAATTTTATTTTTATGACACGTTTTCTTATGTATTTTGGTCCGTTTTTTATTCTTTGGCCATTGTTTTTGTTTATATTTTTTTAGGGTTGGATATGACATTCGCCATGATTGATCAAGATGACACTTATTTGTTGTCATGTTGATCTTCCCTTCTTTGGACCATCGAATTAAATTTGGATGTGCTATTTACATTCGTGGATTGTTTTCTCACGTCGTTCGACTCTGATTAGCGGTTTGTCGGCGGTGTTTCAATAGCTTCATCCCTTTTTATCGTTTGTTTTTCGATGCAATTAGATCTGTTTGTATCCATCTTTTGTTCGAGTTTTTGATTAGGTTTTTAAACTTTTTCCTTGTGTGATCTTAAGTGACTAGTTTTTGTGTGATTATAGCAAAATATCTTATTTATGTGTTTAGTTTACGACTATAATTGTAAACCTTCACCGTAATTCTGGACATTTCCTATTTTTAATAAAATTAACGGCTTCTCTAAAAATATTTTTAATTTTGTTATCTAATTTTAAAAAATAAAGATTTCGTCCATACATGCTTTTATTTATACGTTTAGTTTCTCTTTCACAATCGAAGAAAACATGAAGTAGAAATAAATAAAATTAAAAATTAAAAAAACCACAAAATGTAAACAACAATCAACCAGTTCCTTAGGATGGGAATGAGTTCAACTGATGTTCTATGGGGTCAAGGAGGATCACATCATTTCTTTTTATAAATAATAATTAACCAATTATTAAATCTTAGAAAATAAAACAAGAGAGGTGAGAAGAAATGAGATGAACAAATGTGCTACTTTGCTTATATGTTACTCCTTTGGCATCCATCACCCACTCATTCTTTGAGCAAGAAGAAAGAGAGTTAGTTTTCCTGCACAAATCTTGTCCCCTACGTGGGTCTCTTGATGATGGGGGTCTTGATTCAAAAGAATTATTATATTTAACTCGATATCTTAAGTTCAAATAATTAAGTCTTCAAATGATTTATACGCACGTGAGGATGGTCTAGATTTTGATCCTAGATTAATGTTATCTACGTCAAAGGTCGTCAAAATTTGATCTTGAAAACATGTTTGAACAATTGTTTGAGAAACTGTCCAAGAATAATCAAGACTTGATTTTAGGTCAGTAAACTTCAAGGGCCATTGGATACTGTTTGGTGGGTGCTGGAGTCGTATATAGAAATGGTAATTGGATGGCAGCCCCAAATGCAGAAACCGCTCCAATCTTTATCATCAAATCCACTTCTTATCCGTCTTTCTCCCCTTCCATCCATACATATTGATTTTCATGTTATCTGTTGCCACCACTTGCAACACTCCACCTTTCTTTCCTCCCATTTTCTTTTACTATTCCGTTCATTATGGATGGGCATGGGACCTGAACCCCACGGGTTCCGACCTGATCGGGTCGGATTTTTTTTTAAAAAATGGGGTTCGAGTTTAGGGTGAAAAATACCCGATCTGACCCGAAAAATGTATAATTTCACCTTTTATATTTAAGAATAATTACAATAATACCACTCTATATATTTTTTTCCCAATTAAGTCACTGTTTTTATTGAATAAAAATATTTTTTTATTATTTCTGGTCGAGTCGGGTCGGGTTTTTAAGTTATATATCGGGTCGGGTGGATGACTCCTTGTTCTTGGGTCGGGTCGGGTGGACCAAAAACCCGACCCATGCCCATCCCTACCGTATATAGACAAACACAATATTTTATATCATAAGTGAATCTATAAAATTTTGAGAGGAACATATTTATAATATTTTAAGAGACAAAAAAATATCATCAATAAAAAATATAAATAAAATATTTAAAATGTATGAGGATTAAAATTTTCAAAGGGACGACTGTTCTTATAAAAAACCAACATATAAATGTTAATGTTACTAATACTGTAATTTTAAAAAATAAAAAATCTAATATATATTCTTTTGAGTTGCTTTCGAACTTTTCGACTCGAGTGTTAAGTAGCTCATTTCGACTCATTAAAACCTCGAGTCGAGTTCGAAATCAAATCGAGTCTATCCGATTTAAATATCGATCAAACTATATTAAATTAATTTTAAATAAATTGTAATCTATGCCGTCTAATTTATAGTCCTATTAACAAGATCCCATCTTCAGAGAGAGAAAAGACCCCTTCGAAAATGAAATTGAAGTGACGTGAAGAAAATCAATTTTGGTAATGGTATAAAATTGATGGGATGTGGCATCTTCATTCTTAATTATATGTATATGGATGGCATGATTTCATGATTGGCATGCGCTGTTGAATTGCTAATCAGAGACTTGTTCTTTTGTTTCTTTAACCTTTCTCTCTCTCTCTTGGATTGATTGATTTCATGTGTTGTTTTGGCTTCATTCATGAAGGCAATCAAAATAGAAGTTAAGCTTATCATAAATAGAATATAACCAAACTAATGTAGCAGTACAAATAAGGATGGTAAGAGGTTAGATTAGATCAGATTTTCAACTAATTCGACCTGGTTTAAGAAGTATATTTTTCAGTATAAACTTGCATTTGACCCGTTTATATAAAATAATATTTTTATTCAATATAATAAAAATCTAATTGAAAAACATAAAAAATGAAATATTATAAAAAATTATCGCTAAATATATAGAAAAATTATATTATTATCTAGAGTTAGATCGAATTAGATCTATTTTCTTACTCTACTTAAAATCAACTAAACATCACCCTTTACAAAACACTACCCAACCGAAATAAGTTCGAATTTTAAGTTTAAACAGTTGTGTTTGAAGGGTATATATATTATTACTAATTGAGAAAGACTACCTTATAATCACTCCGTACTACTTTAAAAAATCAAAAAAATTATCATTCTAATTAGAAGTCCAAGATATACGTATAGAGATTTATCTAATAAACATAAAAATATTATTTTATTTAAACTTAATTATAAAATATGTAAAAATATTAATATGAAAATAATTCTGAATATGTAAACATTACCCAACATGATGAGCAGACAGGTTTCTTTTCATTCAAGAAATTTCGGTTTACGCCATAGCAGTGCCTTGTTGTGAGATTAAATAATTCTTCGCTAAAGATTGAATTAATCAATTTGGATCCAACAAGCGGATAATCCACTACATACACGCGTCTAATTAAAGATATCCATGTCATTTTCAAACAAGCAACTGCATCTGCATGCATGCACCAAAGCAGTCGATTATGTTCTCAAAATTGGACCTGAATCAATGAGTAGATGCAGGTGACAAACATGGTATTTTCTGACACGAACTAAGTTGCTGATGTATTACCTTGAATTTGTCTTTGAGCCTGTTAATCTGCAACATAGTCATTCCGAGTCGATCAGAAAAACGAAGCATGCTATGATTGTAAAGGAAATTTGATAGATGTGGAATACCCTTTTGAGCTCAATCTCTGTATCTCTCTTTCGTTGGCCCAAAGAGTGCCGCAGATTGCTAATGTCAAACACATTGTCCATGTAATCAGAAAATGTAGATTCCAGGTCTTCCCGGAGACGTGCAGGTAATTTGTCCACCACTGGCATTAGAAGAAAGCAGTTGAACTGCAAGACATTGACATAAACAATTACAAAATAATAAGAACTAGACCGATGATGACAAGTCGGCGAAATAAATTCGGTGTTCCATTAATATGCATATGGCTAATAAGAAATCAGCTTTGGATGCAACAATAATATGGCATGAAATAATTTGACAAAAAGATTAAAAAAAGAAGAAGCAAACCTTTAATTCAGCAGAGGCCAAAAAATACTCTCTTATGCCATGAAATATTTGGTGTACTAATGCATAAACAATCCTTTCTGACGAAGGACCAAGCCTCCGGTTCCAAAGTGTGTTATCTAGAAGATCGGCAAGCTTTGTTTCTGCTGTCTGAGCAGAAGAACATGAATCAATGCCCGAGGAAATATGACTGAGCTTTATATCTGCTCTTGGCTTGGTGTCATGCTTCTCTGCAGCAACGGACCCAGTCAATGACTCTTGGGAATTTCCAGGAGGTATGGAATTGGCTGCTACACTGGATGGCTCGTTTCCACCAAATGAGTCTAAAAAGTGACGTAGCCCAGCCCGATTCTGAAAATTCAACATACAAAGCAAGATAAGCAGAGCAATAGGTCAGATGATCCATCATAGCACAGAATGTATGCATGTGGTTCAAAATTCAATAGTTGACGATAAGTCCTAAAGCAATATGGAACAATGAAAAAGGTGGAGGAATTGCAAGAATTCTATCTAGAGTATTTTAAGACCTACTCTTAACTAGAGTAGATTCACTTGCATGAAATTCTATTTGCCTCATAAGTAACTTACCTTATTGTGGAGGGACCAGGATACGTAACGGGTTGTGCTCACTAAATCCTCCAAACATCTGGCAACAAATATGAAACTCTGGGTAATATTTGGTGACTAAGAAACTCCAGCATCTTCACTTTAGTAATCATTAGTATGTATTTTTAGGGTTTATAAAGTTATACAGCTTAGTTTAAAGAATATGAATCGTCAGAAACACTCCAAACGAAAGAGTTCTTTGTTTGGTACTTTTCTTTTTCGAGAAATTGTTTAGTACTTTTCAGTAATAATGAACAAACAATTTATATGAAGAATGTAAGCTGAAACAAATTACCAAACAACGCCTTAGAAATTAGGGTTAACAATAACAATTTGGTGGCAATAGAGGAAGCAACCTACTTCTCACGGCAAGCTCGTTCAGTAGATTCAGCAAAGTTGTTGAAAGCAGAAGCAACTCGCCTGAGAAATACCTCATGGCCACTTAAAAATTCTCCATCTTTCTGTTGGAAATCATGAAACATTTGAAAGTACAAATCATAATAAAAAAGTGCAATAATTAACTACATGCTAGTCCTAGATTCTCCAAACATAGAAAATTAGAAATAAATAAATAAAAAAGAGGACAAACCTGCATAAGATATATAGAGATAGGAAGTAATCTCTTCAAAATGTACAAGAGCCTACAACCCAACTATACAAGGAAAGGAAAAATCTCAGTTAGGACTAGTAACAAATATAAAGTCGACAAAATCAAACTTTTTATCTATCGATTTCAAATTTTAAAGTATTTCACAACCATTAATTTAGTTGACAACAAGGAAGCAACAGAGGAACATGAAAAGAAAGAGAACAACTGAAAGATATAGACAGCTAATGTCACTTCACCTGATGGAGGAAAGGTTCAAAAGTGTCCCGAGCCTTAGAAACTGCTATAACGCAGGCTGTCCTGATTTCCAAAATGAAAAGGAGGAAAGAAATAGCTCAAAACGGTTTATTGCGCATGAAATGAAAATAAAAAAAATTAGCAACAGAAAGATGATAAGCCATAAATAGATCATACCTTGAGTAATTTGTTCCATCATGAATATCTTCAACACCACAAGCATTGACAATTTCTTCCCTTGTAATTGGTGGGCATTTTATCCCTCCCACAATGAATCGGAATTCAGCCATGGCACGATGATATTGTGCACCTCCATAAAGACGCATTCCGGAGTTCTAAAATACCAATGAAACCTAGTAACCCACATGACACAAGTCTGGCAATTTTTTCTCATTGGTTTCCATCCACTTTATATATGGGGACCAGGATATTTATCAAGTTGATAGAAAAATAACTTAATAGTAGATCTTAAACAAGAAATACATAAAAAACCCCAGTTTGCAAGAATATTTAAAGTTAATCTTTAGCTTACAGGTATTATCTTGTGTGGCAATTGAAGACCATCAGCACCCACAAATGCTCCTCCATTACCTCTCTCATCTACTAGAGTTTCACCTGTAATGAGTCATTGCAGAACTGTTAGCGATCCACCATCACTATCTGGAACGATTAATTTACAAAAATAAGAGATATCTTCACTAGAAACATACCAAATTTATCTGGAGGCGCAACAACTGTCCCTTTCAGAAGCAATGACAACTGTGTAATACAGCAAATTTAAGTCGGAATGCATAACATAAAATGGAACAACAATTTTGAGCATAAGTAATGTCAACATTTGACAAGAATAAACATTCTCATCTCTTACAAATTTTTAAGACCTTCAAACGGTCCCACATTTTGGCAAAGCAAGAAGAAACAAGATAAGCATGCCACAAACCAAAAGAGCATAAGGGTACATAGAAACCTTGGTCAGAAATAAATCGTGAAAAGCTCTTCCTCTTTCCCTCAATTTCACTTCATCCAAAGTGCTGCATGTGAAGGAAACAATGAATTGGTTATGGGAAAAAGAAACTGAATGCTTTGCAATCGTCAGGGTCTATAAAAATATCAGGCCACAAATCAAATATTTGATTCCCTACACAGCAAATCATCATCTTCTTTTAAGCAGTAAAAAGGCTTTAAGTCCATCTAAAATTGCCAAAAAGAAAAATGCTAAACAAGCTCAACGACAAACCTGAGTTCCTTATTTATTTCAGTTAACTTTCTTGTTGTGATGTGGTACTCCTTCTCAAGAAGTGGAATGATCAAAGGAACGCTATCCATATACCTTTTCTGTAACAATTCCTCTAGAAAAAGCCTAAGTTTGCTTACACCTATTCTACTTCTTTCTTGCTTTGACAATTGCCGACCTAATTTCTCCTCCAAAGATGCTATGTCTTGCACCTCTCTAGATATTATTGCCTGCATTAGAAATCAAGAAGGGGAGAAGTATGGATCAACTTGGTCTAATGTTCCAGTACAGCATGGAGATAGTTAATATTTTAGATTTAATGACTACTTTAAGAAAAATCTTTAAGCTTCTCAGTTTATTCCCCTTTATTTGGGGTGACCCTTTAAATACTTTCCCAGGCAAACTTAGGTTATCCACCAGTAAAGGGAAGGAAGCGAGTATAAATAAGAACAACTAGATTAAGAATATGTCACAAAAGAAGCAAAACTCGGTACCATAATCAACTCCGTGATTTTACTGGAAGCAGGAGCAAACCTGTTTAAACTCTTCATTTGAACTGTAAACAGAATCATGCTCAGAACCAACTCTTCCAGAAGGCACTGATGTAAAGAACGGAGAATCCCCCAATATGAATCCATCAAGCGTACATGCAGGTGGAGAGAGAAAAACTTCTACATCAGAAGAACGTGCAAACTGAGGAATTTTGGTATCAAGCTTGGTAGAGACAATGACAGTTCTTGAAAGCTCTGGATCAATCTGAATCAAGTATCAACCAATAAAATGTTAAGCTTTGCAACATCATAAGAACCGAAACCGAATCCCTTCTTTGCAACTACAAGAGGTAGTTCGTAATACCAGAAAACTAAGCAGCTAAAGCTAACATTAGCTATTATTAGAAGTGCCAAATATTATATTAGCTGCTAGATTACTTAGCATTGTATCAATCAAACAGCTCAAAAGTAAAAATCGCTTCTAACTCTTCTAATTCAGTTCCTTGAAAAACTCTATTTAATGCAAGTAAGTATCCTCTCTCAGTTTTTAATCATGCTTATTTTTTTAGAAGACACCGTATTTGAAGAGTAGTATTTTGGCTTTGACCCTCTTAAGAACTAACAGCCTCCTCACATTCTCAACCCTACATTCTTTGAGCCAACACTTAACACTTTATGAAACACTTGGCAACAAGAGAAATTACATACTTGCATTACAACCCTTCTTGTCATTGCATTACTCCAGTCACTACAATCTTCAAGACATAATATAATGAATTCTGTATGCTGCATCTTTGTTCTCACTAAGGACTCCACCGCACGTGCTTGGCTCTGCTTGAATGTCACCACTCACCAATTACAGAAATGTATGAAACAAAATTAACCAGAAATACTTGGTGGATTGAGAAAGCACCTGCAAAGCACGATTCGTCCGAGCTGGAGCAGGAGCGATAAGCCCAGGAGTATCTATAATAGTCAAATTCGGACAGTGTTTGTATTTCACTTTAATAATGATTTCTTTAGAAGAGAATTGGCATGGCTCACGTTCCAACCTCATATTTTCAGCTTCAATGTAGGCCTAACAGGGGAAATCACATTGATTGGTTCATTTCAAAATTTAAACTTGAAAAAAAAGGATAAAAAAGATTTTTCGTAAAAAAACCTGAATATCGGCGAGAGATTTTTCGTGGGGGACAGTGGGGTCAACATCGGAGACGAGATGACACAATGGGACATCGCAAAGAGGGTCATAGGACATATGGAGAGTGATGGGTCGGCGGGTCTTGGTTCCGCCGCCGACGTGGTTGAATTGGAAGCCCATCAATGCTTCGACCAACGCGCTTTTGCCGTCCGTTTGGTGTCCGACGACTAACACCGCCGGCGCGTCGAAGGGAGCCTCAAGCTCCTGAGCTAGACCGTGAAGCTCGTTGTAGGCCTCGTAGAGAGTTGAGTGTGGGTTCGGTGTTCCTTCCTCCATTTAGATTCTATTTTACTTAGTAACTTGGCCACTGCTCTGCTTCTTAGTGCAGAGAACCAGCTAAACGGAACACTCTTTTTCAGTTTTTCGCTATCAGCGTCGGGGAAATCTGATGACTTGAATTCGCCCAATTCGTCAAAATCTTCACCGCTATCCTCGCGGATGATGTGCCACACGGCAGGATTTCGTTGCTGCTCTTTTTTCTTTTTGTATTTTCGACTGGCATTTGAGATCGAGACTGTGCATATAACATTCAGGGCCGTAAACGAATAGATTGGTGGACGAATTAATTATAAATAGTAGATTTATTAATTATTCGTCTATGTTTATTTAATAATTTAAATAACTTTGAACAAAATTATATTTAGTTTATTTATATTAAGTCTCACAATGGACTTTTACATTATTCAATTCAGATATAGATGGTTAATTAAAAGAAAATATTCACATTTTATAAATTTAACCTATAAATTAGTAAAATGGATATTTTATAGATTTTTATTGCTAAAATTTGAACATTAAAAATTAATATTGGATGAAAAAAATCAAAAGATAAATGATAAAAGTCAATTATAAATGTATTTTAATTTAAGATGTATAGAGAAATTTCAACACCTACTTATAATAGGATGAAATATCTTAACTCAAAATAAAATTATTTATTGATAAAATTCATGGTTCATTTTGATCCGAAAAAAGTCTCGAATTGATTTTCATATAAAACAATAGGTTTGTATTGTTATAATAAGATTTTGATGCATCGTTATAAGATTTATTTTTAATTTTTTTTATTGACATATTGTTATTAGTTTCATTCAAATAAATCAAATATGAAAATACTAAAATACTAATAAGGCTATCTTAATTGGCATAACAAACACCAAGTAAAAGATCTACCAAGTAGTGAGCGGTTATGAAAGCAATGAAACGAAAGTACAAACCGCAATAACTAAGTAACAAAGCTAAAATTAAGCAGGTGCAAGAAAAACTTGAACAAATACACTAGAACCTGGGAAGAAGGGCGAGGGGTTTCAACTCAACTTTCAACATGTTGAAATCCATGAATTTGTCGACCAAAAATCAGAACATAATTTTATGGTTTTGGTTCGTAAAGTCTACCGTAATAGTTATATATGCAGATCCCAATACATGCACATGGACAGTTGTTTATGTTTGCACTTTACAGTTCACTCCTCGATGTAGAGCAGATGACAAGAATTTCAAAAGTAATTTGGTTCAGAGAAAGAAGATACTGATTAATATACCTTTGATCCATAGCTGTAGAGTCAAAATGAGAATCATTACTCCGGACGAATGGCAGAAAACACCGGCAACCTCTTCTTTGTAGTAGGACCGTAGAGAACACCGTCAATGCATGCATCGACATCTCCCCTTGATGGGTTTTCGCCGGGAAATGGTGGCGGCAGGGTAACATCAATCCGATCATCTTGAGGTGACCAGTTGGCTCCATTGGTGGAAGTGGTGGTGGCACTTGTATCAGGTCCGATGGTGGAGGCGGTGCTGATCTTGTTGGTTTTAGGTTTCATTGTGGGATTGGAGCGGGTGATTTCAGGTAGGACAGTTGAGAGGGAGTTGATGATTGTCCCTTCAGGCTTGATGGGGGTTCTGAACCGTGAGCCTGGATAATCAGGTTTGATAGATGAGTCCTTTTGGGTTATAAAGGGAGTTGTTTCTGTGACTGGACACAAAAGGCGAGGTTTGGAGCCGTATGTGTTTTGCACTGTGCTTGCATGTGACTTGTACACCTATACATTTAAAATTTTATGTTAAAAAAATTAATTTATAAAATTTTAGAGACAAAATAAATTATCAACAAAAAATACAACAAAAATCTCTAAAATATATGAAAATCTGAAATTTTCAAGGACAATAGCCCCCTCCATGTATGCATAAGCAACTCAGAGACAAACGCGCAATGACCTAGTATTAAGTGCACCAATGGTTTGGTATAGGAATTTATATCATCAAATACAAGTTCATTGATGCTAACCTCAGATTTGGTCCTGAATGAGAAACAAGTGGGGGTACGTCTTCCTTTCCATGTTCCAACTGCAAAAGAATTTAAGGCTTCTTCAATAGGTTAGTGTAAAATGAACACATTCCAGAAGAGTTCAACAAAGAAAAGGGGGTCATTGTAGTGTATAAAGTCGGATACTTGGATCAGCTAATGGAAAGGTAGTTTTGATTAAAAAAAGAACTGCGAATTGTACTGCAATAACATGGCAAATGAAATTTCAAGGTTCGAAATCGGTTCATTTGCCTCTGTTAGTACTAGGAACTATGCTCCTCATATTCAGCTGGCATCTAATGAATTTTAAAAGTTCGTGGTTCATGCCTACAAGCTAACATTCACTTTCTCAAACACTGCAAAATATCACATTTTAGTATCCAAGACATTCACGGGCTAAAGACATTATGTTTGCCAGCATATAGGCAGAGTTATTATAACATTAAGGCCATCATGAAATTTCAATCATATTAGACAATTCGGCAGTGAAATATACCTGACACCTGGATCCATATCGGCAATGGCCAAGTTCCTCCCAAGCCCTGCAAATTTCTGACTTATAGAAACCAGTACTTCCCGAAGATGAAGACCCGATCCTATGATATTAGTATCAGAAGCAACAAGAACTCCGTCCATTACAAACACATCTTCGTCCACCACCTTCAGTGGTGTCTTCTCCGACTGTGGCGAAACCGATGATCTGAAGCAGCTCTTCCCGGAGGAGCCGCTGTGGCCGGTACTAGATACTGAATTGGAGCGTAGGTACTTGATGAGGTTCTCCGGTGATGAATAGTAGTTGCCACGGCTTCTTTCCGGAGTCGTCGCCAGCTTCGGAATGTTGCTGCTCTTCAGGACGTTGAGTTTGTTGCTTTCATTGTAGAAGTTCGAGTCCATTGAATTTGAATCTCATCATTTCGTATTAACCATCAATTATCAGCAAAAGAAAATTTGTGAAATATAATTGAAATGGTTTAATGATTTTTAATTAAGCACCGGAGTTAATTTTCTGGTGACTTCCCGATTCTCTTATTATTTAAAAAATAAAGTTATTCCCGCCAAAAAAGTTGATCATCAGTCTTTTTAGCAACAAACTGGATTCGATGCGATGAAACTGAATCATACTCTTCGCTGAAAATTCAAATTTCACAAAAAGAAAACATCAAATCATTTTGAAAGAAAACTTTCGACGAACATTTAATTGCGAAATCTAGAAGCATAGTAACTAGTAAGATGAGGCGACAAGTTTCGTTTCTATAACAGAAAAGGAGAAACAGATCAAGAACGTTACATAACACAGAAAATCAAACTGAAGATGATGAAAAAGATTCAAAACAGAAAAAAAAAAGTCGATGCAGTTCAACCAATTCGATCCAAAATAAAAGCAGCAGCAACGCTATATATAAAAGAATTGTGCATTCATTCAAATAAAAAAGACGGTAATCATTATATCAAAAATGAGCTCATAAAAAGCATTAGAATCGAAAAACCAGAATGGAGAAAGAAATTCAAAGTGAAAAATCACCTAAACGAGAGTAGCGTTAGAGAATTTCAAAAGTGATAGGCGAAGGTTGAATCTTCTGAGGAAGTTGAAGGGGAAAATTTTGTTTCTCTTTGCATATATATACTGTTGCTGTTGGAAGAGGGAAAGAGGGACAAAGAAGAGCACAGCGCCAAGTAAGCAAAGTACAAAAAAGATCCAAGTTTGGCTGAAACCAGGGATATAAGCCCCTTGGATAATGGGAAAATTGCTACAATAACCCCTCCCAAAAACAATAACTTAGATTAAATCCTTTAAAACTTTTAGTTAAATGAAAATTTTGCATTTTGGCTCCCAAAATTTTATAATTTAACTCAGCCCAACTCGAACTTATTGGCTTCGCCCCTGGCTGAAGCATTTTCCATTAATAACGTTATCAACAACAACAAAACAACCACCATAGGCTAATGACGGTCTATTATAACAATTTCGGAACATAAAAGATTACAACATGCATATACGTACCTAGTCTTTTGACAGCAACCAATTTTTATGAACAATTTCACTGTCCCAATAACAACACAGGAAACCAAACCAAATTTCTACATGTGACATATATTTTGACTTCAAATTCCATCAAAGGGGTTCGTGAGATTCACGCCAAGCAAGGACATGAGACCACCACCATGGACCCTACCCTCCGGAATTGAGAAGTCATTGTTGCCACCACCACCACCGATGTCCATGTTGTATCCATTTCTTCCTTCCTCTTGCTTCTCGGCATCGAAGAAACTCGAGTAAGAGGAGGAGGACTTCATAGATAAAGGAACCAATACCTGAGGCGGCATGAGTTGTTGCCTTTTTGTTGATTTGTCCAGGGAATCAATACCATCAGAAATAACAATAGTCCCTGAGGATGGGTGATTGTTGTCCCGGCTGCTTCTTGTGGCTGCTGCCGTTGATACAAGCCCATGGAAAACTCCAGGTGCGATGTGTCCTCCCTTGCTTGCCTCTCGCTCTTTTACCATACTGCTGTGAGCAGCACATAGACCGCTCCTGCCCCTTGCGAATTTCTCACATTTGCTCTTCCCCAAGAGCATCTTTTTCCACCACCATAGGCCTTGCAGATGTCTGTGCTTCCTTGGGCGCTCTTGATACAATTCTCAATCTTGCATCGCTTCCCACCACCATGCCTGACACAACAATCAGTTCGACCGTGTGCACTCTTTGTACAGCTTGGCACAACACACCGCTTCCCACCACCATGTGCAACACAGAATTTGGTGCTTCCAGGCACACTCTTGGGACAAATGCCACCACCGTTGTAGAGGCAACGTTTTCCCTCACCATGTCCTTTGCACCACAGCGTGGTTCCTTCAGCACCTTTGGTACACCCTGCGAATATACAGCGTTTCCCACCACCATGGGCCTTGCAATTACTTCCCTGAGCACCCTTAGCGCATCCCTGGAACTGGCAACGGCGTCCACCACCATGAGAGATGCACAAACTAGCATGTCCTTCGGCACTACGTGTGCAACCTTCCACCTTTCACCTCTTTCCCCCACCATGTCTGATGCAAAGCCCCAATTACCTCGTGCTGCCTTCACGCACCCTCCAGGAATCTGCCTCCTCCATGTGCTATACAAAAATCTGTTTTCCCCTCGGCACTTTTAGTGCAGCCCAAGTGTTGGCACCTCCTCCCTCCACCATGAGTCTTACAGTAGGCAGTGCGGCTCTCAGAACCTTTGTTACACCCTGGTGTTTGGCATCTTTGTCCTCCCCGTGACCAATACAAAGACCAGATGCCCCTCTTGCTCCTTTTGAGCAGCCAGCAAACTTGCATTTCTTTGAATTGCTTGCTCGATTATCTAAGGACGTCATAGAGGTGGTTTGCTCAGACAGAGTGTCTACAGAAAAGTCACTCTGAGAAGAGGGCTCGCAACTTTGATGAAATTGATGAGACTGAAAAAGTCTTGTGTCTGAACCAAAGCTTTGCGACTTTCCATTTTCGGAGCAAAGAGGAGTGATGGCATATAACCATCAGATTTCTTAGTCGAAGTTGAACCCTCATCGACAATAGGTATCGAAAGTTCACTATCTTCCGCAGAAACCTGGTTTGGAAGAGGTATAGTAACATCAGTTTCTATTGACAGAGGACATTCTAACTGTCCCATACTTTCCTTAGTCCCACCAGATAGGCCAAGTTTTAGGAGTCGTCCTCAGGTGAAACTCCACGGGTGAATAAAGCTGTTGTTGATTTGTTCTTGCTTAGACCAACATTGTAATAGTTATCCAAGTATACACTTGGAGTCGGTCCTAACCCCAGAACCAACCTGCAGCCGTCATCAGCTGCACTAGAAAGATCAACATGAAGATTCTTTGAAATAGTTCCACATCTGGCCTTGTTGCTTCCTCCGTAACCGATAAAGTTCAGGCATAGGATAGTATCACCAAAATTTTCATTTTTCGAGAGTTCAGATACATGAGAAAACTGTGCATTCTTATTCAAATCCATACCCTTTATAGATGCTGCAAACTATATCACTAAGAAAAGATGCCAACCTTACAGAAAAGTATTTAATACATGACCGATAAATATATCCGAAACGTTCCTCCTCCACTTACAAACCCTGATGTATCCGCTCGGTCCATCTTATAAACTATCTACGCAACAGCAAAAACTTCAATTATGTGAAAGCTTAGTTCCCAATGAATCTGACAACGTTTCTAGGAACAAACCCTTTGATCAGAACATTCAAAGTGGACGCAAAGAGATATCTGGAGCGTCTCTTGCTCCATATCGACAAATAGGTCGGCTTCATTAACCCTAACAAGAATAAACAATCAAAGTAGCACAGTCAAGCATTGCTTAAAGCAAGCATATTAACAAATCAACAACATACAACATTCTATCCAAGGATAGAAGATCAAACATGCGTATGATCACCCTGTTCAATGATGCACTAACAACAATTTCAGGACAGACGTTGACGTCTACATCGCAAAATGAGATTAATACGGTTACATTAAAAACAAAAATAGGATTGCAAAGTTTATAAAAAAGGTATCAACACACAAGCACAAGCAATTCCCAATTTGAGCCAGTAGCCTTATAGTCTGTGATTGAACCTTGAGATCCCAATAAATGTTGGGTTTTCAATTACATGTTTAAATTTTGATCGCCAACAACATGCCTATCTATTGTCAGGCTGATCCCTTGGTACTAAATTCAACACCGTTGATGTGAAATCCAAAATCTCTTCAAAGTACAAGAATTTAGACATAAGAGATGTTCATATACATTAGACACTGATACAATTAAAATTAAAACATTAATCTTAAATAGGATATCTAAACCCCAAATTCCACAAATAATTCAAGACTTGAGCTTCAAGAACCAAATAGAATCATTCAAATACAACACAGAAACAATGCTATGGAGAAAGCTATGAAAACTAACTTTCCATCCAGTAAAGACCAATGACTAAACCAATGAAAATTAACCAAACTCTCTTCTTTAATTTTGTTAATATTATTAATACCATCCAAATAACAGGGCTATGAAAAATATAACAGCTCAAAAACCATGCATGGCTCAAAAACCTAACCCTCATGTAAGAAACACCGTGAAAAATCGAAATTCAGAGAAGACATGGAGAAAGCTGAAGGGTATGACTAAAGACGTGGTTAAACAGAGCTGGAGAATCTTTTTAAAAAAGAAAAAAACAGAGAAAATTTAAATGTTTGTAAGATAAACCGACGGCTCTAACGATTTAATTTTAAAATTATTAATATGAAAATTGTTGGGGAGAAAACAATTTAATGCCAAAAATAGCCTTCGATTGTCAATAAGGAAGTGACTCGGTCGGTACAGCCTCGCAAAACACAAACGCTTATATTGGGCGATGCATGGTTTTCCTTACGGAAAAAGACTAAGCTACCCTTAATACGGAGACCGTCCTCGGAAGCTTATGGAGTGCAAAAACGTCAAGTGAAAAGTGTAGTTGTTTATAGGGTAAAGTATACATACAGACCCCAAACTATAAATCGTTATTTTATTGAGTCTTTCAACTATTAAAAATTATAATATGGTCTCTCAATTATAGGATTTTATTTTGCTGAGTCCCTCAACTATTAAAAGTTACGAAATACTCACTTCACTATTCATATGTTCTAAACTTATCATTTTCTGTTAAAAATGATGACATTCTTAGCTGAACGTTAATTTGCTGACTGAGATATGATAAAATATAGTCCTAGAATCTCAAACAACTATACAGCTCAAATGGTTCGAGATCAAATTTTATCATATCTTAGTCAACAGGTTAACGTCCGGCTCAGACGACTGTCAATTTTTTAACCAAAAAAATGTCAAATTTGGGACATATGAATAGTTAGATGACTACTTTATAACTCTTAATAATTGATGAACTTAACAAAGCAACGCTCTAGAATCGATAATTATTTTATAACTTTTAATAATCTAGGGATTCAACAAAATAATACTCTACAGTCAGGGACCATGTGTGTACTTTAACCTTTATATATATATATTATATATCATTTTATTTATTTCTTGGGAATTGTCTCCCTCGACGACGAATTAGAAGAGAAGTAGAGTGCTCTTATCGTTTAAAAAAAAACACATTAGTTATCAGAGATAATTATGAGTATAATTATTTATTTTTTATACATTTAATTTAATAAAATTTATTAATTGTAATAATTATTTAAATATGCAACTAATACATGATGTTATATCAAGAGCATTAGGAAAAGATTATTTATATATATATATATTAACAAATCCTACTTTGTAGGGGCTCATGTAGATCGAGATATCATGTTAATTTTCATTATCTTTTAAATTTTTTAACAAAATTAATTTATTTTTAAGGACGAGTTTGTAGAGAAAAAAAAGATTCTAGAGTGTAGCCCTCAAATGAAAGACGATATTTTAAGGGCAGCATAATCATTTTACAGAGTAGTGGATGCTTCCTTTTATATTTTCAATTTGGGGTTTCGGAATGTTCAACTTTCAACAATTGGTTACACTTGAAGAAAAAAAATGAGAAAATTGCTAATAACTCCCTCAACTTATTCCAGGCTCTATTTGCCATTCCCTTACTTGCCTTCGGCGAAAGAAAATAAGAGGAGGATTTCCAAGAAAAAAATCACGAGAAATTTGAAAAAGTTTCTTTT